GTAAAATTTCCGCTGCACTAATTACCCCCCCCCCCCCCCCCCCTCCTTAGTGCTCTCGATCCTAACAGTTCAGATATGAGATATCCGACGGAGCCCTTGTCTTATTGGATGCAGATCCAATACCCACTAAGGGAGGACCCATTAGGGTTTGACAGGGGACCTCTATAAATACGAGGGATTCAGAGCCTCATAGGCTAGAGTCTTTGCTTGTCTTTTCTATTCTCCTCTCCCTCTCCACCTCAAAGCAGGCCTGGAGTTTTGAGGAGCATCGTCGCAACCCTACTGTGTGGATCACCGCTAGAGAGGAGGACGCTTGACCTCCTTCACCCTCTCCTAAGGATCTGTAAGGAAATAGGGATATACGATCTCCCTAGGTAACACAATCTACTCTATACGCAGTTTTGAGTTTCGCGGATTTTGTGCACCAATCTTCGCACGACGATGAACATCTTTTTGGGAATCGGGGATTTTGTTTTATTGTTCTTCCGCTGCGCATGTGATGTCGCCCCCAAGATTTCCCAACAATGATAACACATGGGTATTGGATACCGGTTATGCTTATCATATATACAATTCGTTGCAGGTTCTGGCAAGGCCTAGGAGACTAGAGAGAGGCGAGATGGACCTCAAGATGGGTAATGAAGTAAAAGTTGCTGCAGTAGCTGTTGGTGAGGTCACCCTACATATGCCTGGTGGAGCTTTTATTGCATTAGATACATCTTATTTTGTTCCTTCTATTATCAAAAATATTATCTCCATTTCATATTTGACAATTAGTGGAGATAAATTAATTTTTGAGAACCATGGTTGTTCGATATTATTAGATGATGAGATCATCACGAAAGGAACATTGTATAATGGTTTATTTATGCTAGCCACTACTCCATATATCACGAATGTAAGTGTGTCCAAGAGGAAATGAGATGAGATAAACAATGCATGCCCGTGGCATTGTAGGCTAGGTCACTTCCTTGAAGAAAGAATTCAAAAGTTGCTAAATGATGGATATCTAGATCCATTCGACAATGAGTCATATGCAACTTGCGAGCCTTACCTTCGTGGAAAATTGACCAACTCTCCATTTAATGGAACTGGAGAGAGAGTCACTGAGCTGTTGGCACTCATACATAGTGATGTATGTGGACCTATGTCAACTCATGCCATTGGTGGTTACTCCGACTTCATTACCTTTACTGATGATTTCTCAAGGTATGGATATGTATACTTAATGAAGTACAAGTCTGAGGCCTTTGAGAAATTCAGAGAGTATAAGAATGAGGTGGAGAACCAGACTGGAAAGAGTATCAAGACTCTTCGATCAGATCGAGGAGGTGAGTACTTAAGTACAGAGTTTACTCGGTTCCTCAAGGACCATGGGATATTATCCCAATGGACACCTCCTTATATACCTCA